AGGAGGCGAGAATTCCCTGCTGGATCCCTGTTTTCCACTTGTCTATCCCCAACAATGTGGACCATTTGCATTAAACTTAAATAGCACAACTTACTTAAGATTCGTCTTTACTCATCTTGTTCTAAAATCACAGATTCCATCTGACAATGTGATAGGACAAGATTATATTTTTAAACTTCGAGAACCACACTCCAGAACTGTGCCCAAAGTAACAATTTCTTGTGTCAGAAATAGCTTCCTCATGAACTCTTCTGAGGAGCTGACCTGGCTGCTTGCATTTGGAATATTAAGGCTGCATGAGCTGAGAAAGTGCTTGGTTGGTCTGCCTTGTGTTGGTGAGGGGTCTCTCCATTAGTACTGGGGTGGGGGAAGGAAGACTTCTCCACATTGCCTGGTATGTTCTCCTTGGGTACACCCAGGGGCGTCATCAGCTGGTGGTGACATCATTTAGGGGTGAGTCATCTACTTTTGCATTGGTATCAGTGTGGCCAGCTGGGTCAGAGTCCGTTGTGGTTGTGATGTCTGGGTTCTGTGAAGGCCAGGTCGCTGTGATTGCTGATGAGACTCTGGGGCGGTGGTGGTAACAGCTCATTACCACTGTGTCATCCTTTACTGGATCCGTTGGTCTGTCCTGCTGCTGCGCAGGGTTGCCTTACCTGCCTGCACCAAGTCACATGCGTGTGCAGGTTGCCAGGAGGCTTTTGCACATGATCGCCTGGGCCTTGCGCAGCTCGCCTTGCCGCTCTGCCTCTGGCCACATGGCTGTGACTCAGGCAGGGCCAGCCAGGTGCAGCGGAGGTGGTGGACTGGTTGGCTGTGGCCTGGAGCTGCTGGCAGCCGTGTTACCTCACGAGCCAGGACATTCCTGAAGCTGCAGCCCGCGCAGAGGCAAAGCCGAGTCAGGAGACGGCCTGAAGCTTCCGACTTCAGTGCTTGTGGTCCTTGCCATTCTTGACTTGTTAGTTATGAGAACCAGTAATTTCCTCTTTTGTTTAAGCCAGTTTGAGTTGGGTTTCACTTGCTTACAGTTGGAAGGTTCCTGACCAGCAAGATCTTTGTTACGTGAAGCATGGCACACTCTGTGTTGTGCAGTGAAGTTTGCTTTCCTGCCGTGTTGTGTGGAGGGTCGTGCTGATTCCCAGCACTGCCTGCGCGTCTGGACTCCCAGGTGACGCAGCTAACGGAGGCTGCGGGTAGGGGAGCCTTTCAGACGGACGTGGTCGCCGTCCTCCCGTTACCCTGCTAGGGCGGGCTTCTGCCCCTCTTTGTCAGGAGTGCCAGCGCTCTGCCTAGTGGCTGCGACATTTGATGGGCCCAGTTAGAAGGGAGGGCAGCTGGATTTGGGGAGCAGAGTGTGGCGCAGGAAGCAGGACTCCCGTAGGGGTGGGCAGGCGGCTGGTTGCCCAGCAGGGCCACCCCTCCCTCCTGAAGGTGGGGCGTGGCCCCTGCCCCCGAGTGGAGCAGTCTGGAGCGCTGGCCACGCCATTCCTGCAATGCAGGCCCCAGGGCTTCCTTCCCTCTCCTGTTCTCGCTGCCCATCACTGGCTCTGGGGCCTTGTCCGTGCCGAGAGGACACAGCCGTGCGGTGAGCTGTCGTTCCAGAGCCTCAGCCCCGGGAGCTGTCAGGCTGGCAGTGGACACCTGGGCCCTCCCCGTGGGAGACTGAGCCATGTCCCCGCCAGGTGGCTCTGGGCTCCTCTGACACCCAGACCACCTGTGCTTAGGCCTCTGAGTTTTAGGGTGACTTGTTATGTGGACGGGATGACCTGGAGGTTACAGGTGGCGCTGTGCTCTGGTCTCCCTCCATCTCCTGAGCCCGGCTTCCTTCCTGGCTCTCATGGCATCTGCTCAAGGTTGCTGATAAACGGGGAGGGGAGAGGAAGTCTTCTGAGCGAGAATGAGCTCTTTCAGGGCAAGCATGGAGGCATTTGTGTCTTTTCTTGGAGATTTCTGTAAAGCAGCAGCCTTTAGCAGTTACGTGATGACCGTCTTTAGAATTTGGGAGGGAGGGAAGAACTTTGTTTGCTATGGAGTGATAGGTACTTTTTGGGGAGGAGTCTTATTCTGAATAACGGGGAATTCTGTGACTCAGCCTAAGAGGTTTTAACTTGTACCATTTCGTGTTAAAATGGTCCAGCTTTACATGAGCTGACTGCTTCACTTTAATACCGTTTTGTTCCTGCTTGTTGTTTGGAGATGTACTCTCCCCTTCAAGAGCCAGTTCAGTTAGGGAGAATGTGGGATGTAGATGTATCGCCAGCTCTTGCCAGGTGGTGCTGTGTTAGCCAGCAGCCCCCTCGTCTCCGCGGCTGACAACACTGAAGGTGTATCCTGCCCGTCTTGTTGGCTGCAGAGACGGGGTTGCTCTGCTCCGAGTGTCCTCTTTATTCTCGGGTCCAGGCTGGTGGGGCAGCTCCAGTGTGGGCCTTGCCATGCTCACTTAAAGGAAAAGACCGGGGAGGCTGTCTGAAACGCCTGAAGGCTCCTAAAGCTTCGCTTGGGGCCTAGCACGCATTGTCCTGCTCAGAGCGGGTACGTGTGCTCACAGCTCGTTGGCCGGAACCCATGGGAAGGCGTGGCAGTGGGTGGGGACGCACACCCCTCTTTAGGGGTGACCTGGAGTTAGAGGAAGTTGGGGGACTTCCCTGGTGGCACAGTGGTTAAGAATCTGCCTGCCAATGCAGGGGACATGGGTTCGAACCCTGGCCCGGGAAGATCCCACATGCCGCGGAGCAACGAAGCCCGTGTGCCACAACTACTGAGCCTGCGCTCTAGAGCCCGCGAGCCACAACTCCTGAGCCCAAGAGCCACAACTACTGAAGCCTGCGTGCCTAGAGCCTGTGCTCTGCAACAAGAGAAGCCATCGCAATGAGAAGCGTGCATACCGCAACAGACAGTAGCCCCTGCTCACCACAGCTAGAGAAAGCCCGCACACAGTAGCGAAGACCCAGTGCAGCCACAAATAGATAAATAAATAAATTTTAAAAGAATAAAAAAAGGAAGTTGGAAAATAGTGTGATGAACGTGAACTTTCTGGATTGATCAGCATCAGTTCTTATCTTGTGCCCTGGAAGCCTCTTTATTTTACAACATTATTGGTGATGCTTCCCTGAAAACCACGGCGGCTCTTTCTCCCAAAGCACAGTCATCCTCTTTCTGGCTGGAGGTTTGCACGTCTGAGAGCTCCAGCCCATGCACGTGGCTCGCCCTATTGGCCTTGCCCTGCTGGGTTGGCGCTACTGACGGGCGACACGTGTGCAGCCTCATCTTCCTCAGGCGCAGGTGAGTCCTGCTTATTTCAGGTGTTAGTTCTGGAACTAAACCTGAACATCTGGAAATGTAATATTAAGTAGAAATAAGGAATATGTCAAAATAGGATAATTTAGAGGGCTAGCAAAAGTGAAGGCTGGGAGGTTGAGTTTGGGCCAGGTGCTTGACGTTCAGGCCCAGCCCTTTTGGTGGTGTGGCACTGACAGTGTTTTCTGAGGGTCAGTGGTCAGAGCGTTGGGTGCTCTGAGGACCTGGGCCTCTGCTGGACAGACGCGGAGCGATGCCGGTGGTGGAGCTGCCGCCGCCTCTGGTGTGCACAGAGCTCTGCAGGGAGCCTCAGTGTTGCGGCGAGTGATGTGGCCACCCGCCTGAGCGTGAGCTGGGGCGCTGCTGGGGACCCGTGGAGGGCAGCACCTGCCGCTGTGCGGAGCCGTGTGGTCTGTTCTCTGCACAGGCTCTCGAGTGTTCTTCTCTGTTCCTGAGCACCCCACCTTGAGGAAGCTTTCTTTGTTTTGTCTTGTAGTTGTTTGTATTACAGAAAAAGAGAATTTTCCTTGGTAGAACGTAGTTATCAGTGGGTCAGTTTTTTCAGGAGACCTGGAGGTTTGGTGTACAAGATTGAGTATCTGTAATTTCACTCATTTTTGAACTTGGGAGGCATTGGCATGGTGCTACCTCCCGCCATTGGCGTCCTCATCCTCAGGCCTTTGTCTGTTCCTTGTTCCGTCTCAAGGATGCGAAGCCGAGGCCCAGAGGGCTTCAGTACACGGAGTAGGGCCGTAACCACGGTGGGGGGGGGGCGGGTGCGTGGGCAGCCTTCAAGCTCGGAAGGACTGTCCACCTCCTTCCCAGCTCGTCCCAACCTCGCTCCCCTTTGTGGGTGACGACGGACACTTCTCAGAAAGTATTTTTATGTCCCACTTTAAATCCTCTGGGTCCCTCTAGCCTGGTTTCCACATGGTTTGGTATTTGTTGTATTCCATTATGTAGTATTGTTTCTTTTGAAAGTAAGATATTAAAAATGAACTATAACTAATACATTTAATATTCTGAGTTTCTTTGGTAGAAAACCGGTAGCATAAGTGTGAGAATATTGGATTCGTCTACTGTACCTTTAATTCGCTTAAATATAAAAGTGAGGGTGAGTTTTTGGAAATATACGTTCCCAGTTGGGTAGATTCCAAGATCTTTGGGGTATGTGTTCCCTCTTCTCTGTGCTTATAAGGGATGGTCATGGGTGCAAGGGGGTGAGCCTGCCTGGGGAGAGGGTTCCTGACACCTTCCCTCTCTCTCCAGGGAGGTGCTTCTCACCCTTGGCTGCATGGAATCACCTGACAAGTGTTAACATTCTGATTCGGGGTCCCTTTCTTGGAGATTCTAATTTGTTGATAATTAGTCTGGGATGTGGCTTGAGTGTCTTGGTTTTCTAAGGTCCTGGGAGATCCTAACGTGCGGCCCCTCCTGAGAATCCCCTAAGGAAAGGCGTGGGAGCGTGGACCCGAGGGCCGTGGAGGGTGGGCGTGTGTGCCCTCAGCCCGAATGGCAGGTCCACGGGAGGGGCAGGCTTATCTCCTAAGCATGAGCGCCCCGGGGTCACTGTGTGCCCTGTTAATGAGACCTTCCTGTATTCCCACAGTACAGACTTTCTCTGTACCCTAAGATTTTTCTGTTTTTGCTTTTTGTTGAATAGATATCTATTTCAGGAAGTAGGCAGTTTTCTTTCTCTAGAGAAGCACCTTAGTCAAAACATTTTATTGACTCAGAATGTGCATTTTTTCCCCCTCTCGGTGGCAAGCGTTTGTCCCATCTCATTGTGTAGCTTCCTGTTAAGAAGTGTGGTGTGTGTGTGAATTCACTTAAGTTCTGATGTCACTCTGGAGCCCATTGGTGGGCCGTTTCAGCCAACCAGACGCTTCCTGGTATCCAAGTAAGAAAGATATATAGTTCTGGAATAACAGGAAATTTCAGTTTTCAACATCCTGTTTTTTCTGGGTTTTGTGACTCTCTGCCTCACCACGATGAAGGTTAGTGGATGTTTTTATGTATATTTCTTTTTTTGCAGAATACCACAATTTGAATTTTCCAAGCTCTAGAATTAGAACTTGAGATCATCTGCTCCCACCTTTTATGAGAGAAGGCACTTTTATGTCCTGCACAGAAGGAAGCTGAGGCCTATTGAGGGTCATACTTTTGATAAAAAATGCAACCAGCCCATTACAAAATGTAGCTGGATATATCAGCCTAGATCATGCTCTCATTTGACTTGGAAATTTCTTTTTAAGTAATAGATATCAGAACAAATGAGTTAAAGTCTGTACTATTAGGTGATTCTAAAGACTGTTCTAAGGGGATACTCCTTTTTACAGGCAGGATCTGGCATCATGGATTGTTTTATTTTTTGCTCCATCAGATGAGAAACGCATGAGTGACATCCACAGAGGGCTTGGGTGTCTCTGTTTACGGCTCCCTTCCCAGCTCTGTGTCTGCAGCTCCTTTCTTGACTTGGATTTGATGGCCTCCTTCCTGGAGGTGGTTTTTCAACTTCTGGATTTGTCTCTCTCTTGTTCATGTTTAAATAAACGTACCTCATGATGATTTTTACTCATCTCAGAAATTAAGACTGAAGACTTTTGTGGAAGACAGCAGTGGTTATTTAGATTTGGAATGGCTCTTCTCAGCTGCTCTTTATGTGTCTGTCCCACGGTGACATTCAGTGCCACGGGGTGGATTGGTGCCTTGTTACCCATTCAGCAAACATTTGCGTTTTTACTGTGTGCTGGCCATTTTCTGGATGTTGGGTGTTGTGAGGTCTGCTTGTGTAGATTTCACAGTCTAGGGCAGCGCGCACACATAGACCGTAAGGTTGTGGCAGTGAGTGTGCCGGGAGCCTGGCTGGGCCCTGCTGAGCCTAGTGGGGGGGTGAGGCTGGCGGGAGCCGGATGAGTGAGAGTTAGCTGTGCAGGGGGAGGGAGAAGCAGGAAGGGGGGAAGCCGGGGCTCCTGGCAGGGTGTGAGATAGAGGAGCCGCCGAGTCGGGGGAGGGGTGACAGGCGGCCTGCAGAGGAAGTCAATCCTGGGATGACTGGTCACCATAGTTCATTTTTGCCCCAGTGGGAGAACCTTTGAAGAATGTTAACACAGTTTTCATTTGGGCATCTAAGCACATCTTTCTGTTAACTGCATCTCAAAGAATTTTTTTCATAATTTTTCTGGCACAGAGTTGTGGATGATTTGACTATTAAATTTTTGGGGGGAGAGAAGGAGTTATTCAGTGATCAGAAGGTGTATGTGGTCTTCAGGCAGTGTTTGGGGATGAGACGTGTTTGTTTTAGCGCGTGTGTTTGCGCACACATTGTGGATCAGCCGTGCTGTGTCTAGGCAGCCTGATGCGCAGCATCTTTCAGCTCCTGGGTGTTGGAGGGTGGGCGGGGAGGGGACTAGCTTGGGCGCGTCCCCGGTCTCTAGGCGGCCGAGATTGTAGCGATGCAGACTAGACGGTCCTGGTCTGGCCTTGTGCTCTGCCCCGAGGGTGGCGGTGTCCCCGCTCCCCCTCTTCTGGAATCAGCCTCTCCTGCCTTCCCTTCCTTCCCTCTCGTATCCTCTCTGATGTCGGCGTTTCCCTTTTGCTGCTGTTGGTTTTGGCATCGGCTATGGCCAGGAGAGGAAGTCTGTAGTAGACCTGCCCTGAGGCCTCAGCCTCAGTCTAAGGAGAGGAGCCTTCACGCAGTGCCAGCAGCACCCCAGGTTATGAAGGAGGGTGCGGCAGGGTGGGGGCGTGGTGGTTGAGAAGCTGGACTTGGGCCCAGAACGGCCCCAGTAAGGGAATCTGGCCTGGCCTCCTGCTCCGACCGGAAGACGAGCTCGCAGGTGTGCCGCCTCCCTGGGGTCTCGCCTGCGAAGCCTACTGTCTTCCTCTTACTGTGCAGAACTGCCCCGACACCGGACTCTGCTAATTCTGCTTGTTCATTTTTCCCTTTCAGACATTTGATGCAAACGATTTGTATCAGGGGCAGAATTTCAACAAGGTCCTCAGCTCCTTAGTGACTCTAAATAAAGTAACAGCAGGTAAGTCTCTTTTTTACTGAACTTGAGGGGAGGGGAAGAAAAAGGGGCAAAAACCTTGTTGCTTTTGTGTTAGTGAGGCAGAGTGAACATTATTGAATTTAAAAAAGGATTGCATTAAAATTTTGGTTGTCACTTTTGCTGCGAGCAGAGTCTTCCTCTTTAGGTCCTGGTAGATATCAGTGCTTTCCTTCCTGTGGGCAGAGAGAAAAGTACAGCAGAGGGGGAGTGCCTTGTTCGCAGGGGCAACTCATGGGCTGTCCTGGAGCTTGAAGCACCTTGCTCTGGAGTTTTATTAAGTTCATGCTGATTAAAGCTCAGATCTAGTGAGCAGATCTAGTGCCTGTTTTTGAGGTACAGCCAGTGAGCTGGCCTCTACAGTAAACACCTACCTGGGCCAGGTTTCCTGAGGGTGACGAGGGCACCTGGGCTCTGTGGGCTGCGGGTTCGAGCCCCAGTTGCACCTCTAGGGAGAGGTGGGGTCCCCGACCGCGGAGAGGACAGCGGGGTCTGTACATGCTCCTGTGGGGCTAGTTCGGGCCTGGAGGCTGCCTGAGGCACCGGAAGGGCTTAGAGGCTCTTTTGTTTTAAAGTCACGTTTGTTTTCTACTTACCTTTACGGACTGTAGTTTCAGATCCCTGGGAGGGGCAGTTAGCCCTTGATACGTCTCTTTTGATCAGAAAAAGTAAGTTTCTCTTGCCAGGGTCTCCCCTCATTTCGCCCCGACCCTTCCTCACTGTGGGGACGGGATGGGGTCGGAACGCTCGGGGCTGCAGGAACCGCTTCCGGGGCCCCTCACGCCACTCGTTTGCTGGGAGGGCTGTCTGGGCGCTGCCCCGCTGCCCGCGCTTGGGGACGTGTGCCCAGAGCAGCCTGTGCTGCCCGCCGTCCCGGGCAGGGCTTCCCTTTTCATAGCTTGACTTCAGGCTTGAAGTTGAGAACGTCTTGGGCTGTTGAGGTGACAGCACCTCGGGACACGCTAAATTAGGACCCAGGTGAGCGAGTGTGGGAAAGCGTGAGGGTCCAAGTCCAGGAGGAGGGCAAGAGGGGGCGGAGAAGTGGGGGGCAACAAGGCGGACATAAGGACATGCAGCCATCGCACCCTCCAGACAGGAGGCTTGTGGCGTTTTGTCAAGCTTGTGCTGCCTCTTCGATCCCTCTGTGGAGAAGCGATAGACCTGACGCGAGCAGACAGATAATAAAGGAGCCAGCCTGCCACGGTCGAAGCGTTGGCAGTCGATGAGTGGGCTTCACAGGGGAGGAGCGGGTGCAGGCGGCGGGTGCAGCGCGGCGCCTCCTCGGCCCCGGCCCGCCTGCAGCACTTTGCTGGCGTCTGGGCCGCAGTTTGACACTCACTGCCCTCCGCTGGGCTCGCTGTCTGGCAGCTGGGGCGAGAGTGGCTTTGGTAGACACGGTCCCCACGTGTGAGGCCGCGGGCGGGAGACGGCAGGTTTGCTCTCGCCCTGGGTGTGTAAGTTCGGGTGGGTCGGAAGGAGAGGGGGAGCGACGAGGGCGGCTTCGCTCCATCCACCGGGCTGCGAGACCTCGGTGATCGAGGCGGAGCCCCGCGGGCCACAGAAAGCATGGACGCAGGCCGGGAGCTGTATCTTCCGGGCATGTGTTACCGTCGTTCCCACCTCCACCTGATGCAGAAGTGTTTCTCGTGTGTTCTTGACATCATTGGACATATCCTGGACGCAGAGCACCTAGCGCTGTTCTTTACAAAGACCTGTTTGGAAGTTCTGAAATAAACCTGGTACTTCTCTCTTCAGCTTTTAAACAAGAGGACTGAGCCTTCTCAGAGGAAGAGAACTTTTTGCTTCTGTATTTGTTGGCTACTGCTCTTCATTTGTGTTTCGGAAGTCAGCGTGAAGGAGGTGACGGTGCCTCTTCAGCCGTCGGCTGTAGGGGCTGACGCAAGTGTAAGACAGGTGCACCTGCTGACTTCACGGTCGTTGTTGGGGAAGCCCGTCACCGTCTTTCCTCTGCTTCCGGCACTTCAGGGAGACCCTTTGTGTTCTCCAGGCTTGTGGAGGAATACTTGCCTTTTACTTGGACAGAGGAGAGATTGGAGGTGGGGAAGGAAGGGATCCTAAACACTCCTGGGTACGGCAGGCAGCCACTGGGGCAGCTGCTTCACGCCTGTCCTCTGGGCGCTGTTTGTGCTCGCAGTTGCCAGGCCTCTGCCACACGGCGGGAGCACTGAGCAGGGCCTGAGAATTGGAGGGGCTTCCACACTGAGACGTCAAGGTGGTTTTAGGGCAGGGGTCCCGGACGCCAGGTCCGTGGGGCCCAGCAGGCAGCATTGAGGAGCGAGGCGGGCAGAGGGCAATGGTTGCTCTGCCCGCGTGGGCCCTGCTCAGCTCTGGGTCAGTCAGGGAGCGCAGAGCCAGAGGCGCCAGAGCCCCGGTGCTTCAAGAACAGCTGGGAATGCCGGTTTCCCTGGGGAGTCCCCAGACTTCCAGTTGTTGGTACCTAATTCAGAATGTCATAAGACGCTGTGTAAGCCAATCCAAAGGGATCTGCCAGAGAAAGAGGACCTGGAGACCCCCAGTTTCAGGACATTTTTATAGAAGGCCCCCCACATAGCTTTAGGAAATTGCTAGGCGTGTGCATGTCAAAACAGTGATTTCCCTAGAAAACTCGCTCGTGGCCTCATTTTTAAAAAATCACATCGCTTCTGCGAAGTGGGCTGCTGACATTTACGTGCTGGTGGCCTGAGTGGGGTGTGTGATCCTGCAGCGACTCCAGAGAGAGATCTGAGCCTTTAGTGCTGTGTGGTCTCTGGTCCTTTCACAGCCTTGTGAGGTGAGTGAAGTGTGCCTGCCGTCATGCCGAGGGCATCATCCTCAGAAAGGCCTTTCTGGACGGAAAGTGCCAGGGGGTTCTGTTTGTTTCAAGTAAGAGAGTCTTTTCCGTCTCTGGCACGATCACGCTTGCGGCTCGCTCACTGCGCAAAGAGTGATCCTGGAGGAGTGGGCGTGCGGTGGGGATGCGGGGGGAGTCTGGGTGGTGCTCTGCTCAGGAGTCGAGTGTGAGAGGCTTCTTGTTTCCAGGTGAGGGGAAAGTACTGAAAACAGTTACGAAACACGTTGTAAACTCGGAACTTAGCTAGAGAAGGACTGCTAAATAGTTATGTTCAGTTAATTCCCGGGAAGGTGCCTGGGGTGCGTGCGGTCGTTCGGTCCCATGGCGGGGACTCTGCTCCTGGTCTCCTGCGCGGGTGGCCCCCTGACCCTCGGAGCCCGGTGCGGGGTTGTGGGCGCAGTGTCAGGGGACTCAGCTCGCTCTCTCCCCTGTGACGACCTTGCAGACATCGGCCTGGGAAGTGACTCCGTGTGTGCCCGGCCCTCCTCTCACCGGATCAAGTCTTTCGACTCCCTGGGACCCCAGCCTTCACACGGTCGGACTTCAAAATTGTTCCAGGGCCAGTATCGGAGTTTGGTAAGTGTGAGAGTTGGTCCCTGAGAATGGGAGTGTGTTGGGGAGCCAGGTGTGTGCAGCGTGTCTGGAAGGACACACGGGCCTCCGGGGAGTTGCTCAGCCAGAGGGTGGTTTGCCTTTGCTGCCGTTGCTCCTATTCTCGGGTCTGGCGTTTGCCCATCACCAGATTATCCGCGTGTCGTGCTTCATGACAGCTTCTAAGAAATCTGTGTATTTGGGGCACTCTATTTTAAGATATAGACCTGTTTATCTGGAGGGATGTGACCTTTAAAATGTTTTCCTGGTCACTTGCATCATATTTTCTTACCTACTCTGCACAAAGGTACGGAAGTTTGGGAATAAGAAATCCATACCTAGTACTTAGATGATGAAGAAATGGCTGGAAGCCGAAGAACCTAGAGCGTTTTTTTCTCTTTCTGAAAGCGTGACAGCACCCTACTGAGTCAGGATGCAGCTTGTGAAGGAGGGGCTCCCTTATAACGGTGCTGGTGAGGTGGGGAAGCCACCTGAGATGAACAGTCCTCCTGGAAAGTGAGGAAAACCCATTTGTAAATCGTCAGGAGACAGGCTGTGAGCACAGGCTTGGAAATGAGGACCTGGGAAGGTGAGGTACAGGGCCGAGCGGAGACTGTGGGTTGGGGCCACCCCATCCAGCAGCTGGGGTGTGTGTCCACCTGCCGGGCAGCCGAGCCCGCTCTGGACCGGATGGTGGCCTGGTCCTCAGCTTGATCAGCCGGTGCTGTGACTTTACTTCACGCAACACTTGAGTAAATTATTGTATGTTAGAGAATCAGTGAGCTCGTCCTGTGAGTCTGAAGAGAACCGACCCTCCTGGAGTCTTCAGAGACCACTGCTCTCTACTTTACCACAAGGGAGTATTGCCCAGTAAGCTGGTGTGATCCTCGGAAACGGAAGTTAACCTCGTTGGAGCTGTGTGTTGTAGAGAGAAGTTAATTTGAGTTTGGTCACGAAGCAGCAGTAAAAACGGAGAGCTGTAGAAGGGATATAATTTTTATGTGTTTTTGAACTTTTTGAACTCGAACTAACTCTCCCTGCTGTGTGTCTGTGACTGTTCTTCCTCTCTGAGAAGTCCCATTGCCCTGTTTCAGGCCTTGTGAACAACACAACACACCTGAGCGTTTTTTCTCTGTGCCAGCTCTGGCTGGTTCGGTGTCTCACCTGGACTGACTCGTGTGACCCTCACGGCCACCCCGTGAGGCTGGACAGACTTAGAGGGTCCCATTGCAAGCTCTGTGGTCCAAAGCAAGGGAAGATGCCCAGACCACTTGAAAAATAGTTTCAATTAGCTTTATGAAATATGCAAGGAAAGTGCAAGAAAAATCAGCAAGCTTTGGATAAAGAAACATTTGCTGTCTGACCCATTCACTTGTGGCAGTTGTCGGTTTTTTTGTTTGTTTTGTTTTTGAGTAAATGAGGACTGGGTTGCAAAGGAATAACTTTAGTAAGATAAAGTTAAATGTTCTGTTGTGATGAGTGTTGCTGAGATCACGGTAAGTATAGCATTGGTGTTTCATTAGCAAGAGAAAGTTTAAGTTACATCAGAACTAAAAAGCCCCAGCCACCTTGCCTGTGCCGTGGACCCGGTGAGGCGCTCACGAGGCGAACGCGGTGAGGCTCCTCTTGACCTGCTAGGTAAGAATAACGATTTCGGACTTCCCTGGTGGCACAGTAGTTAGGAATCTGCCTGCCACTGCAGGGGGACACGGGTTCGAGCCCTGGTCCGGGAAGATCCCACATGCCGCCCATGCACCACAACTACTGAGCCTGCGCTCTAGAGCCTGCGAGCCACAACTCCTGAGCCCACGTGCCACAACTACTGAAGCCCGCACACCTAGAGCCCGTGCTCTACAACAAGAGAAGCCACCGCAGTGAGAAGCCCATGCACCACAATGAAGAGCAGCCCCCGCTCGCCGCAACTAGAGAAAGCCCATGCGCAGCAACGAAGACCCAATGCAGCCAAGAATAAAATAAATAAATTTATTTTTTTAAAAAAAGGGAATAACAATTTCTCCGCCCCACGTTTCAGGGGAGCTTTTAGAAAAGGGGAGGAAAAGAGCTGAAGCGGTAAGCTAGTGACTGAATACACCCTTTCCAGCCTCCCGGGGCAGCAGCAGCGGTGGCGGCAGCCTCCCGTGCGGAGGGCTGGGCTGTCTGCCTGGTGCGTGGTCCTCACCACGCCTGGGCTCGCGCCCGCTCACAGTGCTCCTAGAGCCCATCCTTGAGTGTAGGCTGTGCTCCACGGCTGGGAACTTGTGGCGTCAGAAATGAAGGGGTCCAGACTGGCCACCTGGCCCTGTGCAGACGTCACCCTGTCCTGTGCTTAGTGGAGTGTCCCTTTCTGAAGTGGGGAAGGCATCCCTGGTGTTTGCCTGGCCTGCAGCTGTAGGGAGAGTGTAGGTCACCGCCTCGGCAGCATCCTGACGAGAGCCCCGCGTGCCACTTGCATGCCGCCCGGCGTGCACCCAACAGTGAGTGGGGGGGGACAGACAGGCTGGCAGCAGGGCTCCCAGGGCAGTTTGACCTCCTTAGGGGCCTGCTCTGCGCCTGTGTTTGTTACGTGTCATGTTCCGTTATTGGAATTTGTCACCCGAATCAGCTCTGCAAAGCCAGGGGAAGTCACAAAAAGGAGAATGTCACGGAGATCAGAGTAGACGGCTGATGAGTGATGACAGTGGTCTGCAGAGAGAGAGAACCTGACACAGTGTATGAGCGGGTCGTGTTTCTCTGACCAGAGCGAGGACAGTGTGTGCCGTTTCCCGACTGTGACGTGAGCCCTGTCCAGCCCTCACCACTCAGGTGCCCCTGCCACCCCGCGTTTGAGGGGACAGTGGTCAGCCGCAGGGTTCCTGCCAAATGTGGATGAGAGATTGCTTTATCAAATATTCTAAGTATTAAATGTGAAGTATGCATTAAATGTTTAATTCATTAGATAAATATTTAATGTATTAATTTGAATTATTAAATAAACACGATTTATAGCAGTTAACGTATAAACACATAAATAGATAAACACACATGAACTATTTTAGGCATTCTGTCAGCTCCTCGTCTCCACGTTCTGCCTGAGCACTGTGTTTGTGCTTTATCTTTTTCATCTTGTTTAGTGACACATGAACCTAGTTTAAAGACTCAGGTAACTCTCCAAGACTTGCTATTAGGAAACAATCAGTAGAGACGCAACCGCTTCCCATTTTTTCTCTGTGTCTCTCTAAATAAAGTGCCTTATATAAAGGTTGGTTTTTGGGTTTTTAAAAATAACAGTGTTGCCACTGTGGACGTCCCACTTCCCCTGGGCCTTAGCTTCACGGGTGCTTCTGGGCCTCCCTTCCCCGTGGCTGAGTCCTGTGGTGGCTTCGTTGGGTGGGTGTTAGTGCAACACCGTCATGACCCAGACTCGCAGCGGGGCCACCGTGTGCTGGGACTGTGCTTTCCTGATGACCTTCTGTTGCCTCTTTAGTTTTCTGTGCACCTTGTGCAGATTATAGTCTGCTCTTTTGCCTTTCTTGAAAGAATCTCGTCTTTGCGCATTCAGACGTGTTAGGGTTTTTCAGTTTCCTCTTCCTGGGGGACGCTGGTGAAGTCTTCTGGCCGCCGGAGCGTCTCTTGGTTGCAGCCAGGATGTGCCAGCTGCCGCCTCTGTGCTTCCCTCATCACCTGCAGACGCCTTTGACCCGATTCGACTTCCTCCGTGTCTTTCTGTGTCTTCATTTTTTTCGTGGTTAATTCCCTGTTTTGGAGGAGTGCATCTTATTCTAACTTCTTGAGCAAGGGTTCAGGAGAGGTAAAGTTTTTCAGATCTTGCATATCCACAGACGTCTTTTTTATCCTAAGACGAAAGTTTTTTTGTCTTTAGTTTTCTGAAGTTTAGTTACAGTGTGACTTGGTCCAGATTTCTTTAGGTGTATCCTGTTAGGGGTTCACTCAGCTTCTTGACTCTGTGTGTGTCTTTTGTCACATTTGGGACATTTTTAGCCGTATTTCTTAGACTCCTTTTGAACTCTGTCCTTTCTCCTCCAAGACTTCGATGGTTCCAATCTCAGATCTTTGTCATTTCCCCCAAGTCCCTGGGGCTCTCTTAATTTCTTTTTCACTCTGGCAGTTTGAGTAGACTTTGTAAGTTCTGTTTCATTTCTGGGATTTTCTATTTTGTCTGTTTTGAGAGAGCTTCATCTTAGTGTTGGGATCTATGTCTTTTCTGAGTCAGGCTCCGATTTTCCTTGTTCTTGGAGTAAGGGGTGTCTTCAGTTCTGTCCTAGACACTTTGGAGAGTGTGTTGGAAGATGCTGGATGCTGCTGAGATCGTGTGTCTTCGGCTGCAGCCTTAGCTGATGGGGTTTTGTGTGGCGGTCCTGGCTGAGGGTGGTAGACCGTGGTTCTGGGGACAGCTTGGTTTCCTTGCAGTGGTGTCGGGTCAGACACATTGACCTGGTGTCACTGGGGTTTCTCTTGGACCCCTGACAGTGCTGCTGGAGGGGGGTCAGGGAGACGCTGGGCCTGGCTCCCCCCACGAGGCTGGGTGGAGGGCAGGGGACACCTGTGTGGCCACATGGGGCTGCCTGCTGCCACCTGGGGGGACTGGACGCTGGACTCCCAGCCTCATCTTGGCTGATGTCACTGGTGCTGGAGGAGCTCTGGGGCTTGGTGGGCCACGGGACGTCCTGCCTGGTCCCCTTGGACACCCGCGTGCTGGCTGAGTGGCCCATGTGCTGTCCCTTTCCCGCCCCTTTGGCCAGGAGAGCAGACTCTGCTTGGGGATTTTTGTTTGTTGACTTCCATTGGCAGTTCCAGGTTGCAAGCCTCTCCAGCACCCGGTCTGGGATAGATGGAGACAGAAAGACATTCTAGCCAGCCTGCCTTCCTCTGCCCACTCCTTAGAGATCTGCAGTTAGGCTTAATCTCTGAGAAGGATGCAAGTTAAAATGAGGTACCCTTTCTTCTTGTCGGTTTGGCAGTATCCAGTGTTGGTGAGTGTTTGAAGCAGTCAGACGTCTTAGACGCTGCTGGCGGGAATGTCTGGGACCTTTTTGGAGGGCAACTTAGCAATGGGCGTTAAGATTTAAAATGTGTCATCTGTGTTCTCTGACCTGAATTTAACGTATCGGCTCATTTACAGGTGTGTGCAAAGACACGTGCAGACAGTCCTGATGCAGCCTTGTTTTGCAGTAGAAAGCAACTAGACATGGTCTCAAGTCTAGTAGTGGAGACTTGGTTAAGTAACTAATGGCACTGCCGTACAGTGTAATATTAAGCAGTTAGTTAAGACTGAAGTAATTAAGGACTGCTGGGAAAATGCTCACAGTGTATTAACTTGTTGCAAACTGTAGAGAAGTGTGTAGCGTGGAAATGTATGTGGAAGTGTGTCTCTGTTCATGTAGGCACCACACTGGCAGGAATAAGACCTTTGCAGCCATTAAGGGTTTCCTCCGGGACTGGACCTGGGGCAGTGGACAGGGCCGTGGGGACTTCGGTGTGTCCAGCGCTCCTCTGCCGCATGAACGGGGTGGTTACGCCCTGTTTGTCCAAGCGAAATCTGTTCGTGTCATCACAGTGTAGAATGTGTGTCCTTCATGACGTCTCCTCCCTTCTCCCCTTTTTAGGACATGACGGATAACAGCAACAATCAGCTGGTCGTAAGAGCCAAGTTTAGCTTCCAGCAGACGAATGAAGACGAGCTGTCCTTTGCGAAAGGCGACGTCATCCACGTCACGCGGGTGGAGGAAGGGGGCTGGTGGGAGGGCACGCACAGCGGCAGGACCGGCTGGTTCCCCAGCAACTACGTGCGCGAGATCAAGCCCAGTGGTGAGTGGACGGCGGGGGGAGCAGGAGGCAGGGCGCGTGCCCCCCGTCCTGGGCAGGGCCAGTTTCCCGTGTTCTTTCTGCGAGAGAGAGTGGTGTTTGCCTCCGCGCTGGGGAAAGGGCTGCACGGTCCCAGGCTAGCTCTTCATTCCGTTGCGACATCAGCACTTTAAAATAGAGACTTACTCTGTTATTTTCCCTTTATAAGGAGAAACATCTCAAATCTGTTGGGTTTTATTTTTGTGGTTACGCTTTTACATAAGGTAAACTTTATTGCCCTTTGTAGGGCTGCTGTCAGGACTGAGAGCTGGCTGTGTCACGCAGGCTGTGGTGGCTTCTTGCTGTGGTGGGTTTCTTGCTGTGGGTGCTTTTGCCCGTCATGTACAGTTAAGTAATTTCTGTCCTTCTCTTTGTGCTAATAATAGCATTTTAAGATGCATCGCTTTCCTTAGGTTTTCTGCAGTTGCTTAACATTACTGAATTTAAAAAATCACTCAGAGGCTTATCTTATTTTGAAAGGGAATAGTGAGTGGTACTGGCACTTTTTTCATTTCTGCTTAGATTCACGTCGTGGAGTCGCAGGTTCTCTCTACGGCCCAGGATCTGTGATTTATGTCACTCCGGTATGGGTGTGGAAGTTCTGGCGCACAGCCTCTGCATGTGTGTGCGTGGTGCTGTCCTGCGTGGCGTCACGGGGGGGAACGGCAGGCCTCCCGAGCGCGTCTGCCCAGTAGCCCCTCGTTCCCTGAAGCAGCGTTAATATATCGATAGAGACGGCTGGTTTTATCAGTGCAGTCATGTAGTCCTTGCCTTCATGGGTTCCTGTGTGTATGTGTATATGTTTGTATTCATATGGAGCTGGGGTGTAGGCGCTCTGATGAGTGAGGTTTCAGAACCAGCGTCTTGAAGGGAAGAGTGGGTGGCCAGAGACGCAGCGGTGGGGAGGGATTTGCAGGCCGAGTCTGCTGCGACTTGACTTGCATGTCGTCCGTTGTCTGGAAAGGCCTTGCTGTGTGCTGTGGTGTTCTGCTTCTGCCTGGGGAGAGTGGTGGTGGTCCGCGGTGCGGGTAGGGCCGTGTGGAAGGAGTGTGATGGGAGCGGCTCCGCGCGGGGAGGAGCCCCGGGGCCCGCGGGCGGTTCAGGTTAGGGTGCGGGGGCGGCGCTCCCTTGTGGGGTCAGCGGGGCTCACTCGTTTGCGTTGGTCCAGCCTGTGCTGCGGGCCTGGCACAGAGCGGGAGCCCGGGGAGCGCTAATTGCTGCTCTTTGGCTTTTTGAGGTAGCAAGAAGAAAAGCTGTCTAAAAGTGAACGTGACAGTTTCGATAAAACGAGTATTTCCCTAGCAGTGATGCCAAACCATAAGTATTTTAATAAGGCAGCCTGCAGCCCTGATTGGTAAAGGTTTCCGGTGTTGGATTTTGGGGGGGAATAATACATGCTTCTTCTGTCTTTTTTAGATTGTAGTAAAATTTACCATAATGTAAAATTGACCCTTTTAACCGTTTAAAAATTTTTTTTACGTGTACAATGTAGTGGCACTAAGTACGTTCACATTGTTGTGCAGCCATCACCACCATCTGTCCCAGAAGTTTTTCATCTTCCCAAATTCTCAACCCATTAAACAATTCCTGTCTCCCCTGAGCCCCTGGCAGTCACCATGTGACTTACTGTCTCGACTGACGTTTGACTCCTAAGAGCCTCATGTTAGGGGAATCATACATAATTTGTCCTTTTGTGACTGGCTTATTTCACTCAGCATGTCTTCTGGGTTCACCCGTGTTGTAGTGTGTGTGTCAGAATTTCACTCCTTTCTAAGGCTGAATAATCTGCCCTTGTATGGTTATGCCACTGATAAACCCTCGCACCTCTGTGTTTCGCCTCTGTTCTCACACTGCTGCCACACTTGGAGAACTTCTTACACCAGTGTGTGGGCTTTCCACACATCACACCACTGGATCACACCAGCTGGGTGTCCTGCAGTTCAGTTCAGTTCTGATAGCCGTCTGCCTGGGGTCAGTGTCACAGAGGTTGACGGCTCAGGCCCACAAGACTGACCCCACTTCATGCGCCACAAGCCCCAGGTTGTCACCTGGGCTTCTGACCAACTGGCTGTAAATCGGGGTTCCTGTGACCCTCTCCTAGAGTTTGATAATTTGCTGGAAGGGCTCACAGAACTCGGGGGGAGCGCTCCTCGGGTTTACTGGCTTATCCCGTAGGAAAGGAGATGGTTCAGGACACAGATGAACAGCCGGATGAAGAGGCACAGGGGGCGAGGCCCAGAAGCGTCACAGGCGCAGGAAGTTCTGTCCCCGTGGAGTTGGGGTGCCACCTTCCTGGCACGTAGGTGTGTTCCCCAACCTGGAAGCTCTCTGAACCCCACGCTGTTGGGATTTTACGGAGTTTTCATCACAGAGGCATGAGTGATGGTTAACTCAGTCTCCAGCCCTCTTTCCTTCCCGAGAATGGGGTGGGGCTGGAAGCTCCGAGCTTCTAATCACGGCTTGGTCGTTGTGGTGACCAGGAGCCATCCAGAAGCCCACCTGGAGTCGCCTCATCAGAACAAAGGACGCTCCTATCACCCAGGAAACTCCAGGGGGTTTAGGGACTGTGGGTCAGGAACAGGGTCAGAGACCTAGTGTTAGAACAGGAGATGCTCCCAGCGGCCTTGTCAGGACGTTCCGAGGGCTTCAGGAGCCTTGTGCCAGGAACCGGGGGCAGAGACCAGTACATATGTGTACGTGTTTTTATTTCACACCCGAATTTTGTTTATCCATTCTTCTGTTCCTAGACTTTTGGGTTGTTTCTAGCTTTTGGCTCTTGTGAATAATGTTGCCGTGAACATGGGTGTACAGATGTCTGTCCTGAGTCCTTTCAGTTCTCCGGGGTATATTCCTAGGAGTGGAATCGCTGTGGCTCATGCGGTGACTATGTTCAGTTTTTGAGGAACTGCTGTGCTGCTTCCACAGCAGCTACACCATTTCACATTCCCATCAGCAATGCACAGGGGTTCCTATTTCTCCACAGCTTTGCTGACACTTGTTGTTTTCTGTTTTGTTTTGTTTTTTTGATAATGGCCATTCTAATGGGTGTAAAGTGGTATCTCATTGTTGCTCTTTTTCTATAGTTGATATCGTTCTATTGTTGATAACAAAAGCAGTATATTTTCATTATCATAATAATACAGTTAGCAATAATAGCCAAGTTTTTATGTTCTGGTTCCTGTAGAAAGTGCTTTTCATCTGTGACTTCAGTCCTTACCACAACTCCAGAGGATAAGTACTGTTGGGATATTCAGGGCATAGGGTACACACGTCCTCAGGGGTCACAGAGCTGGTGATGGGCACGTCCTCAGGGGGTCAGAGCTGGTGATGGGTACGTCCTCAGGGGGTCACAGAGATGATGGGCACGTCCTCAGGGGGTCACAGAGCTGGTGATGGGCACGTCCTCAGGGGAGTCACAGAGCTGGTGATGGGCACGTCCTCAGGGGGTCACAGAGCTGTTGGTGGGCACGTCCTCAGGGGGTCACAGAGCTGGTGATGGGCATGTCCTCAGGGGGTCACAGAGCTGGTGGTGGGGCAAGCCATAAAGAGTGGAACTTGCTGATTGTGCAGACGCCTGTTGAATCTGTGCCTCTTGAATTTTGCTGTGCACAGCTCATTTAAATGGGAATTCTGGTCTGATTTTGAGTCACCATAGTAAGAGTGCAAATGAGTGCAAATGAATTTTTCCTTTTCAGGTGTTTCTCCAAAGTTAACCTTTGAAAATTACACTGAAAAGATAGTCCCAGAGGGTTGTTTTCAGGTGTATGAGAGTATGGTCAGTGTCATCTGTTGTTTTCAGGTGGATGTGTGAGTGTGGTCAGTATCATCTGTGGTGGCGGGTTGTTCACAGCTGTTGGTCTCTGAGTGTCTAGCAGCCTGGCATGAGTGTTCTGCTCTCAGCCCCACTTTTGGAGGGGGGTTTTGGGGCTGAGAGCCGGGGGTGGCGAGGGGGGCAGATGTGGCTCTAAGGAGAACCAGCCATTGCATGTTTATGAGTGTTTACCTGCATCAGGAGTGACTGCATCACTTTGTTCTGTCTAAAATTCCTATTTCTGTGTCTTAATCCTGTGTTTCTCTGTGTGTGTGTGTGTGTGTGTGTGTGTGTGTGTGAGAGAGAGAGAGAGAGAGAGAGAGAGGGAGAGAGAGAGAGACCCCTTTTCATCGTATGTGCGTAACTGCATTGTTGTCCAAGGGCTGTTTGCAGGGGTCACATGGAATCCCTAGTTTTCATACCAAACTGAGACCCAAGTAACTTTGAAAACTTCCCTTTTTTCCTGTTTGTTTTGTAAAATATAGGGACTGACATGTTTGCTTAAACTGCTGACTGTTATGCTGAGTGTTCTTTGTTTGACTGTTGGACCAAAGGAATAACCTCTTTTGGTAAGTTTCTGTCCCGGGTGTCCTCAGGTTACTTCAGTATATTCTAAGGAAAGCTGCCGCTGTCTGATTTTAAACGTGGGCATTTGAGAAGCAAAGACGTGAAACCATGTTTTTACCGTATCACTCTGTAATAGTTGAGAGTGAAACTCTAGGATCACAATAACATTTCTGTATTGCATTTTTTTTTTTAGTAATTAATGTGGCTTTTTGATTTTGGAATAGGTTTCCTTTTTGAAAGAGCAAGTTTAGCATAAGTGTTGTAATTCACAGTGTCATTAATGCTTAATTTTCTGTAAAGAAAATGTGCCAGGTCCCAACATACAGACTCCTCTAACTGGCCATCATGTCAGGGTCATTTCCTTACCAAAGACAAACAGCGACTTCCTTTAAACAGTGAGTTTCTCTTCTGCGTTAAATTTTGATTTGATTTACTAATATTTTTATCGAATAAACAAAGCTGAGATTCCTTCTCCGTGATGTCCCCTGGGCTGCACGTCTCCGGGTGAGTTCTCGAGTGTCCAGCTTCTGTCCGGCTTCTGGGGCGGGGCGTGTGCGTGGTCGAGGCCGCCTGCCCCCTTGTGGCA